CTGAAGGCCTTGCCTGCGCCTGTAAGGATGCGTGATTAAGGCTTACTCCCAGTGAACTGAATGCAAATAAATCTTAAATTTTTACAGCTTCATAAAAAATCTGATTATAATGAAATATTTAGTGCTAACAGAGGCAGAAGCAGTTAAAAATGATCTCAATTCCGAGTCGGTGGTTTCTTTGGGAACACTGTTATTATTTCTTAAATGGCCAGTTATCCTGACACAAGAATAAATACTTCCATTCAGTTGTATTTCATAGTCACAGTTACACATCCTAACATGAAATTCAAGATTATATTAATATTTTCAGCATTAAAGATTGTAATAGTAATTTATGCTGTATTCTTAAATTAGGAAGCAGTAAATGTACCTAAAAACATGGCATTCGGTGGACAAATGTCTAATACAAATACATGCAAGAATTTTAGAAGACATTTTAAGGATTGAAAAGGGCTGACATTGCAACCAGGTGATCAAACTTACTGTAACTGGCGTGTAACTGTGGGTGTCTCTGCTCAAGGATACTGTGAACCAAAAGAGCCAGGAAAACTGTTCTGTGGGGCGGAAAGGAGGTTTTGGCCCGATGCCTAAAAGTATGCTGAACTTTTCCGATAGAAATCTATTGCTGAAGAAGTCCAAGAAATTATTTTATCAGGTAGCCTGTGTTGAAAGATAGATTGATTTGTGACAGAGCAGTACTCTGCATGTTTTTATCAGATTTAATCCAATTAAATAAGCAAACTTCCTATTTCAATATACTTCATACTTTTTTAAAAAAAATTAAAATTGTGACATTTGTGTTCAATGGATTTAAATTTCATCAGTATTAAAACAAGTTGTATGAGAATGTTATGAAGCATAAATTTTGGCTATCATTGTACTAATAACTTTGGTAGAAGTTAAAAATTTGAAATTAAAACCCAAGAATATAGCAGGTAAGATGCGTTCAATAAACCGGATTTTTAGTCAAAGTAAATTTGATGTGATGTTACCACATGCAGAATTTCAGCTGGTGTGTGAGGTGTGCGAGCATATTGTTCTTTTTTCATTACTGTTGTGGGATTCCTCACTCATGCAGTTTTTTTCCCCTGTTCATCATGGAGTATTAAGTATGATGGGAGTTTGTCTTTAACATTAATTAAAAGGTGTTTTTTGGTCCATTTATATTTTAAATTTCTGCACCTGCATATTATATATTTTAAATTCCTCCATACTCAACCTGTACAGCTTCAATGCCAGCAGGACACTCTGTGTTTGGGGATTTCGGTGTGGCTCGGCTTGTCACGGCTAGAAACTGCAGAAGGCAGGAGGGCCTGCGACTTGGCGGGCACAAAGCTTTCCCACCTCTTATGGAGAATTTGGGGAACTGGGTTGTGCTTCTTTGGGAAGGACAGGGAATTTGCAGGTGATCTGTGAATTGCATTGTTCTGTGTACTTGACACTGAAAACGCCGTTGTGAAATACGGGAACAGGTTGATGAGGGAGGTGGTGGGACCTCCATCCTTGGAGATGCTGGAAATGTGCCTGAGCAAGCCCTGGGCAGCCTGCTCAAGGGACCCTGGGTAGCACCAGATGACCCAGGCGGTCTCTGCCAAAGGGTTCTGTTTATGCCTACGTTTGTGGGGCAGAAAGGAAAAACATGGAAATTGGAGACAGTGCAGGAGTTTGTCCAAAACAGAAGTGTTACAGATAAATTCAGACTGGCCAAATCTTTCCAGTCTGATCACTTTTATCATTAGACTGTGGGGTGTTACAGTTTTGTGAAGGTGTTAAAGAAATTTCTGAATGGTTTCATCTTGTTGTTCTTCCATGTAAGACATTGCCTTATTAGAGTCTGAACATGTTGTTCACAGTTTGGTTTTTTTTTTTAATAGGAAGGATACAATCTCAAAATGTTTTCTGCTAATGCTCCCCTCCTTCAGCTTAAACATTACACCAACAGTAAGCTTGGGTCCGGTTACTCTTGTGAAAGATGAACTTCTTTAAGCATCCTCGTGGATTTTGCATACCTAAGCACCCAATAGTTCTTTCTCCAGCCTTGTCTTTGTCAGTGCGTGAATGGCTGTAGGTGGCCTCGCCCTCCCCACGCCGCTTGGGTAGGAAGCTGTGACTGCAGGGCTAATCTCCTTAGTGATACTCGGCACATGGAGAGTGGCGCCCGTAGGAGGACCTCTGTGGTGCCAGATTTGCCGTTGCTGTGCTTATTCCTTGTTTCTGAATGGTTTTGACATCTGACATGAACGATGTGAGTACAAGTGTCTTAAGGGAGATCTTTTACTAGCAGATGTGAAAAGAAAGTCACACACACCAGTGGTTTTCAAAAGAAACAAAAACAGCTTAGCTGTATGGACAGAATGCTCAATTCGGTTGAAACATCCTTAAAAATGTTGGTGAAGGAAACCAATTTTGGGAAGTACAAAAGGTGGTGTGAGGTTCACTTCATCTCCCAAAGAAGAAAGGTTTGAGAAGAAGACTCGCACTCGGGCATTCCCTGCATCGTTGCAGGCGTAAATGAAGTAACACATTCTGCAGCCTGGTGTTCTGGGGCTCACGCATCCGTTTGGAGGTTTAGGGGGGAACATAAGGTAATTAAAAGCTCTTTTATAAAATTATTTTTTGCAGGCAGTTATTTAGAAAAGTTAAACCCCACTTAATCTATGGGGAGAAAGGCTGAGGAATGAATCTCGAGAGATGTCTTTGATACTGCATTTGCTGAGATACAGCTGGCTTAGGGTAGTGTAGCGTCAGCCCGGCAAGTCTTGCAGTCATGTGAGCATTGAGTTGTTTATTTTTTTAATTGCTGTTTAGAAAGGCAATCAGCTACTGCAGACTGCTTTTATTTATAAACTCTCTAAATGGTTTTTCAAACAGCAAGCAAATTACTTTTTAACATAGATCCTTAAATGTTAGAATATTTTTTTTTTATTAGAACCAGATATTAAAAACATGTTTAGTTGCAGTTGAAATTGAAACTGGCTTCACTACTTGCTATGGAAACAAGTCTTTAAAACAAATTTGTTGTTGTGTACCCTGATGTGCCAATCCACGTTTTTATGTAACCAGTGAGTTTTTTCATGCCTTTTTGCATCGAGCTTGCAGGAAAAATACGATACAGAACCTATGCTTTTTTGATATTATGGCCTGAATTAAGAATCGGTAATCTATATTTTTCTCAGAAATATGTGCTAATTGTCCCACTGAATTAAAGCAAAGATGGGACAACTAAGACAGAAAGGTATGCAACCTAGGTAAAGATTAGCCTAATTAAAGATTTCCCCAAAGCTGTGTTCCCTGTCATTTGCACATGACAACGTTGTGTTTTGTGATGACACCGTTAGTACGAGTTAAGAGGGGCTCAGGTGCTTTTAGGAAAACAGTTGCATCATACTCTTATTTTGTGATACTTAGTTGTTAATTCAAGTGCATAATCACAGAATCACAGAATGTTCGGGGTTGGAAGGGACCTCTGTGGGTCATCTAGTCCAACCCCCCTG